AGTTATTTAAGAAATGTGATGTACAATACCATGCATTTACTCTCCAAAGCTAGTCACTAGCAAGCTAACACCTTTAACACTACAACCACCAATTACAACTGTTTTGCTACAGTTACTGAGTTCTAACTACAGCTACAGGGCAGAAAGGGTGGGCTGTTTCCATTTTAAACTTTCTCCCTTTGAAAATGGCCATAAAAACTTTTTCTGTACAAGTTTAATGGCACAAAAAGGTGACCTAAATGTTTTAAAGAACTTACCACAAATGATAAATGCAAAATTCAATCAAAACATGCATTTGTTGTGTACAAGTCATAAAAGATCATTGGCTTCAAGCTGCAATATATTACAGGACCATATATTGAAGACATTTTGGTATAACCTCTTGCTTGCTCAAATCCTCTTAAGAGAACTTATAAAGAAATGGCATTGGAAAGGACACTCTATATGGTATTGCCAAGCAGTGACATTCCCAAAGGATGCGCACCTTGTTGAATAAATTAGCACCTAGAAGTTTGCTTCTTTAGGTTTATTAATTACTTTTATATTGAATTCCTGAACAGATCATGAACAGTTGGTGTCATTAGTAAATGTTTAGGTGAATTTAGTAACAAAAGAAAAAATACATTTCAATTAAGTGAATGTTTCCTTTTATAGAATAAGTTGTTAAATATCCTTTTCATTTAAATCAACTCCAACTGCCTATATGTTTAGCTAAAATAATTCAACACTTGGCAAACCCAAAACATAAGGTTATTACAGAGAGCTTAATGAGTATCGGTAAAACTTTAAACAAATTGCTCCCTAACCAACATTCCCACCAGCCAAACCAAATGACAGGAGAAAAATATTACCAGTGGTCTCTCATTATATTATATTGCAGCTTTTCAAACTATGAGCAAATTAAACAAAATCAATTAATGGTATTTAGCTGACAGGAATCCATGGGTGGATTTTTCTGTTCAGCTGATTATTTCTTAAACACACTTCACTGCTCCACAAAATGGCAGACTAAAAAGGAACCACAAAGTATTCTATACAGTGCTTGGAAGGCAAAGACCAAAAGACCCATGAGCTATAAGGAAACTGCTTGTGTGGATCTGCCTCAGGGAATTACAACTGAGAATGAAGAAGAAGAAAGGGCCAGGTTTGGATTATTCCCACCAACGTATTTCTGACTAGACTGGGATAGAATCAGGGCTGGCTGAGTATGCAAATATTTCTCATCACCAAGGCTAAATACCAGGGCTAAGAAGAGGCATATGCCCAATGCCTAGATAAGGAGGAAGGGAAAAAAGGTTCTGAGTGAACAAAAGAGAGACAAAAGAATTGCAGAGGCTAAAGATGGATGTGTGTACTATGGAAAGAGATTGTAATAACACAGAATATAAAACTAAGAGCAAAAATAGGTGAACTAGAGAGAGAAAGAAAATACAAAGAGATGCACAGGGAAGTTAGAGAGTGGCAAAAAGCCATTGATTTTCTGAGCCTATTTACCCAGAAATCAGAAGCTCCAATATTTGTAAGTTTTTGCCTTAGTTTATAATGTTTTTGCTCTGACTTCTGTTGGGACATATGACTGCTCCAAACTAACCTGTCTTTTTCATCAGCAGCAAGAAAATGTCTTAATTTCCAAAGGGAATTCTGTGCTCTCCTAGCCCCAGGCATCCAAGGTAAGACAAGATTGCCTCTGATTCTAGAACATGTTGAAGCCTATAAACTAAGATATTAAAAATTAGACAGTTAAAGTTTTGTCATGACTCTAATTAGTGCTTCAAGAGTCTTGTCATATGAGAACCAATGTCACACTACCTAGGCCAAAGTCAGAAGTCTGCATGGATCATTAAAGGGAAACAAGTAGGAAGCAACACTAACACTGGGAGGCTGATGTAAAGATCACACTAGATTTGGGGGATGAAGAAAAGCTCTGGGGACCAGGGTGAGGGAGACTGAGGAGGAAGGCACCTTTTCCTGAAGAGATAGGAAGGGCAAAATTCTTTATCCAGGCATATTGAAAGACAGTTGATGGAGAGAGAGTATTCTAGTCTCTGAAAATAAAAAGTAGAAGAGGCTAGGAGGAGCTGCTGACAGTCCCAGACCACAGTAGGTTTCCCACTGGAGTCAGTGTTCCGTGGGTTTAGAAATGCATTTTCCTCTCAGCACATGTGACTTAGCTACTGTGTGGCTAGTCAGAGGAGGAATAAAATTGGAAATTCATTTTAAAGAAAATACCTGTGTTCTCTTAGTCCAAAATCAGCCCTCAGGGATGATTGAAAACAATTCACTGAATATTAACAGCACTAGACTGGGTCTGAGCCACCAACAGCCAGAGAGTCTGTTGGAGATGCCTCTCCAGCCAAAAGGTGTGCATGAGTATCATTGCTCCAGGTGGTCACAACTATATTGAAGAGGAAAACCTGCATAAAGTCATAGAACAGTGGACAAGGCTAATTATAGAGTCCCCTTCTTAGGACAGAGGCATAAGTGTGACAGTGGACCTTTATTCTGTCTTGATTTCAGGTCCTAAAACAAAGGACTCTGATCCCTCTTCCATCCCAGATAAGCTTCAAAACACTGATCATTTACTTAGAAAATCAGCCTAATAGCCAAATCCTTTCATGCAATGAGGATAATGCATGAGTGAAGATGCTGTCCTTGGATATCCAAGTGGCCCCATGTGGTCAAGGACAAGTTCCAAAAGTCTCAATGTTGTTGTTTTATTAAGAAATCTCCAATGTCTTTTATTTCCATAGCAAACTAGATGATGAAGGAGGTTATTCAAACCTCACCATCCTAGTGCATCTGTATGGGGAAGTCTTTTGGCATAGATGCTTCTGATATGGGCCGGTCTTTGGAAACATCCTCACCATTGTGCTAGAGCTCATTTTGAGGACATTGGCCAGCTTGTTCCCTTGTCCAAAGAGGACATGTGTGGGGGTTTTCAAATCCTCACCAGAAGACATGCCGAGAGAGAGAGAGAAAGAGAGAGAGAGAGAGAGAGAGAGAAATATCCATCAGTTGCCTTCTGTATGTGCCCTGACCAGGATCGAACACACAACCCAGGTATGTGCCCTGATGGGGAATCGAAGTGACAACCTTTCAGTGCACAAGACAATGTTCAACCAACTAAGCCACTCTGGCTGGGCGATGTGGATTTGTTCTTTGTTTGTTTGTTTTGTGTGTGTTTTTAAACTACTAAAAACCAAATCTGAGGGGAATTGGGAGCATGTCCATCCAGAATACGAAAGGAACTAAAGCAGTAGACACAATGTTGCCCAAGGCAAGCACTGGATTGCTGCTCTAACACTTGGGATGGGTAATTAAAAGAAGGCTCTAAGCACTCAGACCCCGTCTTCTTGCTTTCTTCAGATAACTACACATTCATTTTGTTTCCTTAGTCGCTTCTGATTTGGGATGAGAAGCAGGAAGGAAAGAGAATTTCCAAAAGTAGGGAAAGACCTGCCTGGACAGAGGTCTCTTGGAACTAATCTAATGAATACCCTTTCGTTCCCAGGAAGAGCCTTGCTGTGAGGGAAACTATGTGTTCAGAACTTGTTGCTCTGGTTTCTGGAATGGAAGGCCACAGGAGTAGTGTATACAAGATCAGTACAGTGTGTAGAGCACATAGCTTGCTATTTTAGTGCAAACACAAGGAGCCAATGTTTAACATCAGCCAGAGCACATTTTAGTCACAAAGTCCTTTGCTTATACTTGGAAATTGTCCCCATTATGGCAGGATGGCTATGGGGACATTGTGAATGAGGACAACCACAGCAAGGCCAGGTTATTTTTTCTATCTAGTCTCACTCCCATATTTTAAAAGAAATCATTGGCAGTGAATGGTAGCCACACTCATTTTAAAAAGACTGAAAAGCCATCTCAGAAATTTGGATGAACAAAGCTATTGTCCCCTCTTCCTTCCTTTCTTTGCTCTAAGAACAAGAAACATTTTTCTCAACCTATGAAGACCAACCAGTATCAGATGAAATGAGGTGAGCTGTCTGGGAGAACCAGTTTTTCTACATCCAATCTGGACAAGGCAAGAGGTCAGAAGGCTGTTCTGAGGGATCCTCAAGGTAGGGCAGTGATCCCCTGTGTTGAATGGACATGGTTATATACCCATTGGTACTGTCCTCACCTCTTCCTCTTTTGGAGACATCTGCAATCCATGTGGATGAAAACCATGTAAATACAAGGAAAAATAGCTGTGTTAGGTTGTTGGGTGGATTTCCCACTGAGATCAGTGCAGGAGCGTATGGCTCCAAGATGCAACATGACCCTGGGAAAGTATTCTCAGGAGCATAGTGGAAGGCAATATAGTTCAGTGGGAACAGGCTCTGGAATAAGAGTCAGAAGATATGGGTTCTAATCCTAGGCTTGTCTCAAGCCAGCTGTGTGACTTGCGGAAAATTACCTCTTCATCTCCATTCCTGGTTTGAAAATAAGGAATCTGGTGTAGATGATGTGATCTCAAGGTTCCTTCCAGCTAGAAAACTGTATAATTCAATCTAGGCTAATACTAAGGTCCATAAAGACACAAAGAAATCATGCTAATGGCTATCCTTTCCAAAAACAGTGAAGAGAAAAGGATGTTTTCTCTCAATTTACCCCTAGTTAACACTACTTACGAAGTTGTTCAGCCCAGTCCCCATATATACATTTTCCCATTCTTTGTCCCTATTTCTAGTTCGGTAAGGGAGAATATTCAGGAGGTAGGAACAAGCAACACATGGATTGTGTGTGTGTTTGTATGTGTGTGTGAAAGAGGGAGAGATAATTTGGGGGTGGAGGCAAATGTTTGTTGAATTATATTTGCTAACTGTGCAGAAGGTAACACAATGGAACTTTAGTGGTAAAACTGGACTGGGTAAAATTGGGAATAAATGATGAGAGTGAAGGTGCTCGGTTACATTTTTCTTTGTTGCCTTGAAAATGGGCCCAAGACAATAGTGCAGTGAAGGCCGGGGCGGGGTGGGGGGTACAGGGTGGAAGGGTCAATGGGGTAAAAAAGGGAACATCTGTAATACTTTCAACAATAATGATAAATTAAAAATAAAATGCAATTATTGAAGGATTGAATTTTGAACTACACCAAATCCCTCTGGAGTGGGAGTACAGAAACATTTCCCTATAATTTATTACAAGAAAGATGGAAAATCTACTATTATTATAGACGATTGTTGGTTTAAAGATTATTGTAATGAAAATATGCCATTTAGTATTTTTAATGGTACATATGCTCTACAAGCAAAGAAATGCTCAGAGAGCTAGCATAGGGCATGGACATAAGGAAATCTCAATTCCTCTTCTGGTCCTGCTTTTTCCAGCAAGTCATTTAGCTGCCTCAAACTCCGTTTCATCTTAGATTGAAGGAATTGGACTAAATGAGATCTAGAGAAAGGGAAGAATCTTTGGAGGTCTGGCCTGAAGTTTAAAAACAGATTGCCTACCACTGTACACACCACCACCTCCATCCCAAGTACCATTTTTTCTATTTAACCACAAATTGTTCTGAGATAAACTATCCAAACCTTGAACTTATAGAAAGAAGAAGGGGGTCAGCAACACGGGCTTCTTAAGGGGTTCTAACAAGCCTACAAATGGAGGACAGGTGCAAAAATAGATTTTCATAATTTGGGGTTCTTCAATGACCAATTTAATCAGGAATCATACTATCATCATCTGGACTCTTCTCGAACCAAAAATATTTCACATAGTTAACACCATTTGAAACTTGTCTAGGGGCATCTGAACTATTCCTTGCACCACTGAATTCTCTTCTACACAGTTCTCATCAGCAATGCCACCAATTTGCCACTGATCCATGTTGGGGTATCCTGTTGTATCTCCTAATTGTGAAGTGGTTGCGCGCATGTGTGTGTGTGCGCGCACACACACACACACACACACACACACACACACACACACACCAAGCTCATTCCTGTTAAAGTGGAGGAACAACTGCAAGTCATTCCATAGCCAAGCAGCCACTTGGCTCCGAACACTGCACCTTTCCAACTATCTGCACAATTACAAAGAAATTTTTAAAAATCTTCATATCTGCTAAAAGCAAACACAGAATTGGCATGCATGGCTTTCACTTAAATTTAGTTGTCTTTGCCATTATGGGCTATGATTACAGACAAAAAGCAGTGTTATAAATCTGTACTTCAAAGACTAAGAATTATTTCAAATATTCAGTCCTTAGCAAAGCAAAATCCTTTCTAGTGTTAAAGGCAAAAGAAAATTTTCTATGTCTTCAGTATGAAATATTAGGGTTATAGATAAAAAAGAGTTGCTTAAAATATGCCATAACATTTCATTTAAAATATAATTAGAATGTCTGGTCCACATTGAAATTATTAATGTAAGCATAACTGTTTAAAAGTTGTCAAAAGACTGATTCTATTGAATTGGCCTCTGCTATTTATTTTGTTTTCTCCTGAAGGTTTCTGTTTGCCAGTAACAGCATAATTCCTAAACTACGTTGCTCTGCATTTTTTTGGTAAATTTTCTGCATGTGTTTTTTAGACAAAAGAAAAATCACCAGTTTATAAAAAAGGAGCCTGAAGAGTTTGCTCCTGAAATATAGATATGAGGTTTTATAAAAAGGATATTGGTTTCTTGCTATAAAAAGCGACCAAAATGTGTCAGACCTGAAAACAAATTCTCACAGTTTTTTCAGTGTTGGCTGTTTACAAGGCATTCAATAGAACAGAGATAGATGGATACCATTCAGTTTGTGTAATAACTTGCTATGTTGGACAGCCTCTTAGAGGAACCAGGTATATGAAATCCCTCACCCCCAACTCTAATTAATTGCTTATTGATTCTAAATTGCCCCAGTGGAGCAATTGACAAAAAAAATCACTGCACTTTATAAACTCTACTTAGATGTCTATAGTGTTTCCCCATTTCTGCCTAGTCTGGTTTAGCCATTCCTGTGTCATAGTTCTAGGTGTCTGGTGTCAGAATTATAAGTTGCTGGTGTTTCTCCCCATTGACAACCAGAACTTGTGTTAGACAACAAACAGGGTGTTCAATTAGGAGTAAAGAACAAGACTGGGGAGCTGCCTTGCCATCCTCCCAGGATTTTATAGCATTCTTGAGATTAAGAGACAAGGGGTATTAGTGATTTTGTGTTTGTCACTCTTGGATTTGCCAATGATTTTTCCCCACACACACACATTTTAAGTGTTATGCATGTAAACATCCCTCTATGAAAGGAAAACTGTCATGTATAAGCAAAGTGAGACAGGAGAAAATAATGCAGGTGCCTAAGTGTTCAATATAAAGGTCATGGACTAGCACATTTTGAATCCCAGGAAAGTTACCCCAAATGATGGTTATCAATCTATCTCTTATAATTGGTAACTATAGATCAGTGGCCCAGAGGAGAAATCACAGAAAAATAAACCCAACATAATACAGTATGTTTTAAAAAATAACAACAACAACAAAAATAAAAACTTGAAAGCACCAATAGCCCTGTTGGACACTTGAGCAGAAGTACCCTATTGTGACAGTAATCTTGGATTTGTACTCTGGACTCTGAACACGCTCTCCTCCTTCACATAGAATCACCAAGTGAGTCTGAGTCATCCAAAGACAGAGGCAGGTACAGGTCCTATAAGAAAATAAGAAGAAAAGTTAATTCTCTTTTTCCTAACAACTTGGGCTCCAAAATGGACAAGATTATATGACTGCTTTCTTTTTAAATTAATATTGTCTCTAATATTATTTTGAAATAATTATAGATTCATAGGAAGTTGAAGTACAGGGAGGTATCTTTGTACCAATGTATTCTTCCCTCAGTTTCCTCATGGTAACATCTTGTAGGTTTCCATTTACTTGGGTGTTTGTGTATGTGTGTGTGTGTGTGTGTGTGTGTGTTCCCATGCTATTTTACCACATGTGTATAGTTGTGTCACCTCCACCACAATCAAGATACAGAATTGTATTTCAGGCTCTCGTGTGCTACAACTTTATATCAACATCTGCTCCTCTCGCAACCCAAAGCCCCGATAACCAATAATCTGTTTCCCATCTAAAATTTTGACATTTCATGAATGTTATATAAATGGACCCTACAGTATGTAACCATTCAACCATTGAAGGGCATGTGGGATTATTCCAGCTTCGAGCTATTACAAATAAAACTGCTATAAACATCGGCACACTATATTTTTATATGAATATACATTTTCATTTCTCTGGATAAAGTCCAAGGTTACAATTGCTGAATAGTATGGCAATTGCATGCTTAGTTTTGTAAGGACTGCCATATTGTTTTCCAGAATGGCTATACCATTTAAATTCTTACCAGAAAAGTATGTGATTCAGTTTATCCACATCCTCACCAGTATTTTGTGTTTTCACTCATTTTTATTTTAGCCATTTTTGTAGGTTTGTATTGATATCTCATTGTGGTTTTAATTTCCCTGATGGAGAATGCTATTAAATATCTTTTCATGTGCATATTTGACATCTGTAATTCCTCCTCAGTGAAATGTTTCTTCGTGTCTATTGCTCATATTCTAATTGGATTTTTTCCTATCATTGAGTTTTAACAGTTATTTTATATTCTAAATATGTGTCTTGCTAATATTTTTCTCCCAATCTGTAGTTTGTGTTTTCATACCATTGGCACAGTTTTTGACATAACAAAGTTTTTAGTTTTGATGAGGTCTAATGTATCATTTTTTTTTTCTTTTAGGATGTGCTTTTTGTTGCCAAGCTTAGAATTATTTGCCCAGCAGAAGATCAGAAGATTTTCTCCTGTTTCTTTTCTAAATGTTTTACATTTACATCTAAAGTCTATGTTTTAATTAATTTTTTACATGAAATGTGAATTTTAGTTTAGGGGTAATTTTTGGCCTATAGATATATAATTGCTCCAGCACCAATATTTGAAAAAGGTTAGCTTTGCTCCATTCACTGCCTTTTGCACTTTTGTCAAAAATCAGTTGTGGATATACATGTAAGTTTATTTCAGGCTCTGAGAAAACTGCCTAAACAAATGCTTAGCCCAGAAAATGTACCCCATCTACATATTTCCAGCTTATTTCCTGATACTTCCATTTCTAACCATTAGGATTCATGACTCCAATACTATTCCAAGCCTTGTTTATTGTCTTTAGGAGATGGGGGAATGAAATGGCATTTTTTTTTGTTTTTTGTTTTTGTTTTTGTTTTTCATTGTCTCCAGAATTATATTTGGAGATCCTTGTGATTCCTCTTGGATTTACTTCACCCATTGGTCTAAATCAATGATTTTCAAATCTCTCTAAATTTCTCTCTCTTCTCTCTTTAAATCCTCTATTCATCTGAAATTTGCTTGGATGCCCAATACATCAAAAAAATAAAAGTGTAGTTGTTCTAGTTGAACTAGACATTGGGGAGGCAGGATCTCACCCACCTCCAAATTAAACACAATTTGAAAACCACTGTTTTTATTCATATTATCAGCAAGATACTAATGGTAACTAGAAAAGTTTAGGGACAATTCTGTGGATATTTAATAGACCTATTTTGCTAAAATGGAGACATAGAACTTCAGCAGAGAAAGTCCAAGAAAATTGGAAAATACAGTTTCTCTTTGAGGCAGAAGAAAAAGTGATGATGAGGAAGAGGGACAAGAATGGGAAGGAGAATGACTTATTTATCTAACATTAAACTGCTTTTTGTGGGAAAGAGGGGCAGGAAAAGTTTTAGGTATCATAGAATGGAAAGAGGAGAAAATTATATTCAGAAACATTAGGTTTTAATTCGGGCTAATTAGTACTATGGCATTGAACAAGTCTTTTTAGCATTGGCTTCTTCATCAAGAAAATGCAGACTTCAGAATGGACAATCTGTAATGTCTCTTCCGGTTCTGAGGCTATTATTTGGAACTCTCAAGGGAATATTAAATAATTAAAAAACACAACAAAGGCAACTACTGTGAATAGATTCAACTCTCATCACCCCACCATCCCTTCTCTGTAACTCAAGGGTTTGCAAACTTTTTCTGTAAATAGCTAGATAGTAAATATTTTAGGCTCTCTTTGCTGGTCATATGTGGTCTCTGCCACACAGTCTTGTTTGTTTGGGTTTTGTTTCATTTATAACCCTTTAAAGATGTAAGAAACATTTTTTTTTACATTGGGGATTCATCCAAAAACAAGCAGGCCATAGGTAGGAATTGAAAACCTTGTTTTGTTTTAAACTACCAAATGAGATTTCTTAGAAAAGTGATAAATAGGTAGGGAGTACAAGGCTGAAGAAACGATACAGTGCAATACAACTTATAAAATAGAATTGAAGTGGCATAGAATGGAGTTGCATCTCTGAACATATTTAGTTCTTCAGTACTTGAATATAGTGAAAATTGAACATAATCAAAGGTATCTTTGAGATCTAGACTCCCATAATGGTGAAGAAAGACTCCGAAAACCTGCTTTTACATAAATGTAGTAACACCAGGATAATTGTCAAAATCAACTCTTTCAGAACTCTAGAAATTAAGCAAAGGCTTGCAAAAATCCAGTAAGTGTTCATTCAAGAAAAATGGATAAATCTCAGTGAGAATACCAAGACTTATGGTGCTTTAGCTCACCTTATTTCATTCTCTCATTCTCCAGATGCAGGGTAGCTTTGAAAACAAATAGCCTCACCACTACAGTATTTAAAAAACTACACCCTAGCAGCCTCTGGACAATGCAGAATGAGTTTGGAGCTCCCCCAAAATACCCTAGCCCCTGAGAATTGTCACTCTTTGACCTGTCTGGAAACTGCATTTGTAGGGCTCTTTTTTTATATTTGACCTAACTCGGAGCACACTCCCTGTGAACAGCCTTTACAGGGAGTATTAATCAGCTGCAATTGCTTAAATCATAGCCTCCTTGGGTGGGGGAAATATTTGGGGAAAATGAAGCTGCTTAAAATCTTAAAGGAAAAGCTGAAGAATTAATGTTCATAGGGGACTTTGAAAAGCACCAGCATATTCCCAGTAATCTCTAAAGCCAGGTACATGTTCAGGACTGTGTGTTTTCTCAGAAAAGACCTGAAAAGCCTCTAATCTCTCACTTTTGTTTGCCCTTGAGGCCCTGTGCAAGCAGCAATTGAAGGTTAAGACAAAGTTTTAAACTGCCTTTCAGAGTATTGAAATTATGCCCCAGTACACACCCACAGAGCCTTCAGCAAAGACTTATCAGAGAAAGGTAATCAAGAAAATCTAGCAAAATTATCCTTCAAAAATGAAGGATAAATGAAGACAGTTCCCAGATAGATAAAGACAGATTATTTGTTACTAGCAAACATGTCCTACAAGAAATACTAAAGAGAATCCTTCAGGGAGAAATGAAAGGATAACAAGACAATAATCTAAATCCACATAAGAAATAAAGAATACTGGTAAAGATAAATACAGCAGATGGTAAAAATTTATTTTTGTACTCTTTTCTTCTGTTATCCAATTCAAAAGACAACTGCATAAAATAGCAATTATAATAATGCGTTGGTGAACTTATCCTATATAATAAAAAGCTAATATGATAATTAGACCAGAAGGCAATAGGACCTTCCTGAAGGACCAGTGGGCGGGGAGTGGGGCCACGGGGCCATGAGGGCCTAGGCAACCAGGGTTGTGAGGGCCGAGGCAGCCGGGGCTGCGAAAGCCTATCCTTGCACAAATTTCATGCATCAGGCCTCTAGTTATATATAATGATGTAATCTGTATGTCAATAAGAGCACAAAGAGAAGGCAAAAGGAACAGTGCTATACAAGAGCAAAATTTTTATATACAATTGAAATTAAGTTGATATTAATTCAAAGTAGATTGTATTAAGATGTTGATTGTAATCCCCAGGGCAAACACTAAGAAAATAATACAAAATAAAATTAGTAAAAACACAAAAGGGGAATTAAAGTGGTACACTGTAAATATATTTATCTAACACAAAAGGGCAGAAATAAAGGGATAAAGGAACAAAAAAGATATAAGACAAATACAAAATAGCAAAAAGGAATACGTAATTCCCACCTTTTTAGTAACTGCACTAAATATAGATTAAACACTCAAATGAAAAGGCAGAGATTGGCAGAATGGATTGAAGGGGGAAAAAACAAAAACATGATCCACCCTAGCCAGTTTGGCTCAGTGGATAGAGCATCGGCCTGTGGACTAAAGGGTCCTGGGTTCGATTCCAGGTCAGGGCACATGCCCAGGTTGCAGGCTTGATCCCCAGTGTGGGGCATGCAGGAGGCAACCGATCAATGATTCTCTCTCCTCTATGAAATCAATAAAAATATATTAAAAAAATTTATATGAGATGTTCAGTGTATGCTAGCTCATAGAAAACAGAGAGCAGTAAATTTGTGGCATCCAAGGCATGGGTAGAGGAGAAAAGACCTGTAACTACTTAATGGCATAGTGATTCTTTTGGGGGTGATGAACATATTCCTGCACTATGGTGGGATTTACTAAAAAACATTAAACTGTACAATTTTAAAAGGTGTAACTTATAGTATGTGAATTATCCTAATATATAAAAACCCTAAGTCCATCACATCCACAACGACTGGAGACTCGACCTAATGCCCAGGCTGCACGTGCAGCAGGCTCTGGTGAGTGGGGACTTGTGGCAG